AATTGGTATTTTTTTTATGATTTTTTATTCTTGCTTCTTTAATTTGAATGATTTTTTGTGTAAGCTTCACTTAATATATTTTGTTACATATCACTATGTAAAGAAAGTATTAATATACGTAAATGGAATTAAGAATGATTTGGTTTTTTGGAATATTGCAAGTTTAGTTTGTCGAGTTCTCACTTTTTTTTAATTTTTTTTTTTTTTTTAAGAGACCGAACTGGCGTCACTCTTGTGTATATTTTTAATATGTTAAAGTTGAGAAATTAACGCGCGAAATTTAATAAATGCGTTATCTCATCAACTTGAACATAAAAAATATAGTGAGATTGACGCTAATCGAAATTTTTCTCATTTATTACACACACATTTTTATTAGCTCTTTTCTGTACAATTTCTCACGTTTTGTATTCCCTTTCCTTACCTTCTTTCACTTTTCTACCATTTAATTATTGCCTTTTTAATTACTTTTTTTTAATTACTGCTTTTTTCCCTTTATTTTCTAACTTTTACTTTCTTTACTGTTCACAATTTTTTTTTTTTTTTTTTTTTACATTTTACCCTTATATATTTCTTTTTTACTGTATTCATTTTTTTTTATCTTTGACCGATCGCCTATTATTTATATATTTATATGTATCCAGAAGAGTATAGTTTCTTTCTTAGGCGACCATTTTTGACTCTCTTATGTTAAAAGGAGACATCAGTGACGGAAACTCATGAGACTTCCGCTTCTTGGATACATTATACCTTACACCCTCGAAACGTTTTTATACCCTTTTCTTTCGCACATCCATTATAACACTCGACCCTTGCTATACAACGTCGTTCACTTTGTCGCTGGATTCTGTCTCTCATCCACGTTACACTCAAGTGGAAATACAATCCACTCTGTACGATTTTTCTTTTACTAAAACTAAAAAAAAAAAAGAAAAAAAAATTTTTGACGTAATTATACCCCATTTTATGATGATTTCAAGTCACTCTTACTACTGTGTATTATTTTTAAAATAAATTTTATCAAATAAATTATCTTTTGTTCAACTTCATTCTCATAATTTGTGACTTTTTTTCTGCACACTTTTGTCATTGATTTAACAAAAATTGGATAATTTAATTCTTAGACAACATAAAATTCCATTAAAAGAATACGTGAGGTTTTTTTTTGTTTTAAAATAAGGTAAAGTACAAAAAAAGACGCATATATCGCATAAATTAGTGAGCTGATTTTCACCGCACAAATTTGTCTGCTTTTGCATCGTATCAATAAGTGTTAAAGATTTAACTTATTTATAATATTATTATTGGTAAGTTTCAGTTTATGTTTAAACACTTATTAAATAATGTTTTTAAAGACATGGAAAATTAATATATTTGAAATATAATTTTCTTTTATAATATTAAGACAATTCATTTTTACTAAATTAACATAACCTAAAAGTAAACATATATCTTTAAGGCCTGAGCAAAATAGAAACATAACCGGCTATTAATCGCAACCGGAAAAATGAGTTAGAGAAGGATAGACATATTGTTTGTCCTTCTCTAACTCATTATTCCGGTTGCGTTTGCGATTACGATTCATAGGTTACGTAATTTCTATTCTGTTTTGGCCTTTATGGCCAACGATTAGAAATCATGGAACATTTACACCTTTGGTAAAAAAAATTTTTACTTTGATTTTTCAAAATGCAAAAATCTGATTGGTTGTCCATTATTAATCATATTTGGGAACAACCAATTAGGTTTGTGTATTTCGGAAAATGCAAAATAAAACTTTTTTTTTTACCAAAGTTGTAAATGCACCAATTTGGACAAGGAAAATTATAAAATTATTTACCTAAAAAAATATTTTTTTTATAATTTGTTGATTAATAAAAACTACAAGAAATATTTTTAAGGGAAAAAAATTATAGAATTTTTCATTTTAAAAAATTATTTTTTTTAAAAATCGTTTATTATAAACATTGCGTACTTTAACGGTGTAAATCTGCTCAATGATGAGTAGGTGAAAGTGAGATTTCCACCTCTAGTTAGGGTAAACGCACAATAGATTCGCGAATGATATGCATGCGTTAAAAAAAGACAGATATATTTGAGTCCTTTTCTATCTCATAAATAACGTTCGCGAAACTATTCTGCGTTGGCCTTTATGCTTAAATATTAAATATATGCAGTTCTTGAGATTTATACATCTTTTTTCGAGAATGTGATTGAAAATCATTATTTTAAGTTATTTTTTTTAGAATATACTTTGTTTCATTTCAAAATTAAAAATTTAGAAACTAAAGTTAAAAAAAAAACTTTAAAAAATGTAGATAAACGAAAGTTATCGCGTCTTTGATATGTAAACGTGGAAATAAAATAAAAATTACGCAGAATATATTTGAGATGTGTCCTTCATCCATAAGAGTAATAATTCTTCTCTCTATATATACGCATATACTAAGAAAGTTTCGATCAATTCTCAAAACCCCTTGCAAAGTTTTACAAAAGGTAGAATATTGAATTTGAGCGAGAATAATATCAATACATCCTAAGTGTTGACTATTAATTGACTATTGAATTTCATTGGCCTTTTTGAGGGCTTCTTTTTTTTTTTTTTTTTGAGCAAGGGGATATAAGAACTAAAAGACACTATATATATATAGACGCCAGTATAAAAAAATTCTTTCAGAACAAAAATCTAACAAAAAAAAAATCAAATTTTAACTCTTGTAAAACATTTTTCTTTGGTTCACAAAATATATTTTATTTTTTGTAGAAACATTTTTTTTTCGATATTCTAAATAAATCTAATGCTAAAAATAGTTTTTAAATGCAAAATTTTTAAATTTTTTGGAATTTAAAAAATGTCATTAGGGTAATAATTAGAAAATAGTAATACCATGTATTTGTTATGATTATTTTGAAATTTATTTATAACTGAAAGTTTTTAAACTCTTTTTTGCACATATATATATATATATAATCTAATGACAAAAATTCAAGTATAAAAAATAGCGAAATTTTTGATGTAATTAACAATAATAATAATAATAATAATAATTAAAGATTTAATCGAAAATGAAATATATATGTGACGCTCCACGAGAGAAGGGACCTAACGTGCTTTTGACTTAAGGTTCGCTTTTACCGTGCAATGACACAGTGAATGAACCTTAAGTCAAAAGCACGTTAGGTCCCTTCTCTCGTGGAGCGTCACATATAAATATTAGGTTTTATAAATCAATTTTATATTTAAATGTGATTAATAAATTTTGTATTTTTTTTTTTTAAATCTTTTTTCTTAACTATTATAATATATATTAAGTGCTTCACAGAGTGTAACGGTCTTTAACGACATTGTTTCGCGATGTAATTGATGAGGAAACAATTAAAGTAAAGATTCATTAGGAATAATTAACTCGCGAATACATCATTGGATGTTTATTATATTTTAATGTGTGTGCATATATATTTTGTCGTGTAAATATATACAGACGGCATGACGCTATATGGCTATTTTACGTGTATCGACATACCTATATATACGAACTCACGTTTCGCGATACCGCAATTCAGCTCCGAGTCCTTTTTTAAAATAGTGTTTAACAATTATTTTTTCTTTTTTAATTTCGAATGTATTTCACTGAATTTAGATTACTCTGTTCGAGGAGTGAAGGTTAAAATTGATGTTGAGCAGAAAATTGGGAAAAAGAGAATAAGAGTGACTATACCTTGAAACAGGAATTGTCTCTCTTACTCACAACTCCCTTCTTAAGGCCAAGTGCAATTCGTCAAATGTAAACAAACATGAAAATGTACGTATAATTATTGACAAATTTGCGACAGCCTTTTTTTAAATAGAAAATAAAATTTGTTCTTTCTCTATGTGAAAATGGAAAATTCATATATAAAACTACAGCATGACACCGTATTTAATTAATAATTATAATAAAATAAAAATTACACTGAAACAACAATTTTCTCAAGGTAACGAAAAAATAATCATTAATGAGTATATCTGACGCACGGACGAAGTAGACCTGAATGGGAGAAAGAGTTGAGCCATTGGACGGTCACATGTTGGAAGGGGTAAAAGAGCTAGTACCCCACCGGAAGACCGATACTAGCTATTTTACCCCTTCCTACATATGACCGACCAATGGCTCAACTCTTTCTCCCATTCAGATCTACTTCGTCCGTGCGTCAGATATACTCAAATGATTATTTTTTCGTAACCTTTAAATTTTCCTGTTTCATTCATTTAAAATTTTCCTTCAAAATTATGTTTAATAAATAAATAAAATAATATTTTATATATATGGATAAGTCGCACAGACAGGAGCCATAGGTTAAGTTTCATTATGTTAATACAAATGTTATAACTTTTGTAAAAATTTAATTGATATCAATAAACAAATTCTAATTCTAAAAAAAAAAAAATTCGTAACCTTGAGAAAATTGTTGTTTTAGTGTAATTTTTTATTTTATTATAATTATTAATTAAATACGGTGTCATGCTGTAGTTTTATATATGAATTTTCCATTTTCACATATAGAGAAAGAACAAATTTTATTTTCTATTTAAAAAAAGGCTGTCACAAATTTGTCAATAATTACATACATTTTCATATGTTTGTTTACATTTGACGAGTTGCACCTTGCCTTCACTTATATACTCTCCTCCAATTGAAATTTTATTACGTTTGCATTGATTTCAATAATAGTGATAAATATTCATTCAAAATTAAAAACAAAAATCACTGCAATTTTATTCTATTTGCGCTGTTAATGTTTATATTACGCGCGAACAAGAGAGAAAGAGAGAAAAACAGTGTGTGTGTATATAATATGAGAAAGAGTGACAAGGCGGAAAATATATGATTTCGAAGCCAGAAAATTCGCGGTTCGATAAACGTGAGTGAACAAACGATAAACCTTAATTGTTAAAATACGAATGACCGAATAATAACGGCATAATGACAATTGTAATATACTAGTAATTATAATAGTAATTTGTTTTTTTTTTTTTTTTTTTTTTTTTAATGAGAATTACAATACATAATATATAGTAATAATAACTCAACAGACATAATAAAAAAACAAGAAAAACACAAGGGAAACTGAGCACGGTATTTTAAATTCTGAGTTTAGAAAAATAGAATATTTTTAACTAATTACAAACTATTTTGAAAAATTTTTTTTAAAAGAAAAAATAGTTTTCTTTTTCTCTATACTCAAGATTTAAAAAATCGGATCAGATTAATATTGCATTTAATCGCAAATGCGTAATCGACGCGTTTTTTTTTTGCAGATGGATTAATATAAAATAAAAATGAAAAACGCGCTCTAAAAATTCTCAAAAAATTGTCTATCTACCTAACGTCGTCCATTCTCTTGCTCAAGGATTTTTTTTTTTTTGTTTATTCTTTTAAAGATATAACTTTTTCTTTGCGTCGTCCACTTCTTTCAATCGTCGGGACAAAAAGTAGCGCTAAAATTGTCATTTTTAGAGATTACTTTTTGACTATATATATAAACTCTGCGCACAAATCGACCGACGAAAACAAAAGAATAACACTCTATTCGCTGACAAAGATCGCTAAACTAGACTTTCTAATAACAGACTCGATAGAAGAAAATATCGTATAACACTTTTTTTTTTTCCTTTAATAATCGTGATAGCGATTGACACGAGTTATAATATCGTTGGAATCAAGTCGAGGTTAAAGTACATAATGTAAAAACTTGGCAAAGCATTATTTGGCATTTTATAAAATTTGTTTGTCCTTTTTTTTTGCAGTAATAATTGGTATTTCAGTAATATTTTTTATAGTAGTATGTTATTTTGTTTCCTCTTATAAGTTGAGAATTGCCAGAATGCGTTTTTCAACGAGTTTGCGTATAGAATTGAATATGTGAGGTTAGATTGCCTGCCGAAAGCACCAGCGAGCATGCGCGCAATATAAATTATAATGGCGGAACATCGCTGACGTCATTGTGATCAATCTAAACTTAAAATTATTTCACTTCAACTCGAAAAATTATGTTACATTTTTCATCGTAGACTAACATCGATTATTGTAAATCTAAAATTTTATTTGATTCTAAAAAGAATTTTCTTTATGTAAATTGAAGACCATTAAAGATGATGGAAAATTCCTATATAAGAATTTTAACTTGATTTGCTTACTTTTTTTTTTTTTTTTCTTTTTTTTTTTTTTTTAATGCATTATTGGTACTTTTTATAAATTCTTTATATAAATATTGAAAATTATTTCCAAATTAATAGGCTCTTGAAAAAATTGCTTTTTTTTGGAAGATTACTGCAGAATCTTCCGCATTAAGATTTTCTCCGAGTCTGGTGTATTTAGTATATACCAAATTAAAAATTTCCTTACAATATCAAACTCATGAAATTTTTCTTGATCCCAACTATAGGTGAATTATATTGACTTATTTAGTTGTTTAACTAAATTTCATGACAATTTGTCATTTTTTCTGAATCTCGTAAAATATTTTTCTTTCGAAAAAAAATGTTTCGAATTTTATTTTATTTATTTTTTTTCTTATCTTTCTCTCTCGCGTAATATACATATTTATATATATAATAAGAATCCTTTCACAGAAAAGGAATAAAACTCTTTAAAAGGCGTTCAAATTTATCCTCACAAGAGTCATTCTAAAAAGAAGACTAATAATCTCATTCTTAGAGCCTGGACTTGAGAACCTTAGGCGTTACTATGGTGAGAATGAGATAAACGCATTGTAATTGGTTCCTCCAATCCCTTCCATATAGTATCGCCCAAGGTTCTCAAACTTCAAAGACAACAATATTTAAAGATGTCTTCACATTATGATTCAGAAAGAACTTTTAAACAATAATCGACGTGTTTGTTTGTGTATGAGTGTATGAAAATAAAAAAACATCAAATTTCTCGTTCCCCGACTAATCAACAACTCGACTCAGAATGATAATCGCTAACAATTTACTTATTAATTAATCAAAAGCATATTAATTAATTAGTTCACCTTGAGTGAAATCTCTATATCCCTTTCTCGTGCGGTCTTTTATCCCCGTGGATATTTTTTCATTATCGTCATTTATTATTTATAATATATATATATTTTTTTTTCATTTATTTATTTATAATATTTATATATATAGTAATATGTCGGGCTTTCTCCTCTTTATGTATATATATATATATATATATATATATATATATATATATATATATATATATATATATATATATATATATTTGTATATATATATATACTGTTATTATATATGCATATATATATACATATATGTGTGTATGTATATATACGTTAACGCGAGAAGGGATGGAACTCGAGAGCGAGCGCCCGATGACGTCATTGTTCTATAATCCTTTTTTTTTAATAATTTTTTTTTGTTTCGTAAAAAAACACAGCGAAAACGTACCCGAAAATCGCAAATCGAGCTCCATCCTCGCCGACTTCACGCGTTATTCTGACCGGTGATCAAATTACATTACAATAGTATATTAGCTTTAAAACATCAATAATTATATACAAATGCATAAAACAATTTATCAATATCTCTTCATTTCCATAATTATTATTTCGCGCCTTATATACTCTTTTTTTTCTGCCAGATATAGATGTAATATTTTAATATTCATATTTATTTATATTTTATATATTTATATATTTATATAAACGTGTGGACTGTACTCTTATTTTGTTTCCTATCCTTCACAATTCACCTTCATTACATTCATTAATAATTGATCGTAACCGTCGCTGTGGTTCTGTACATGTATCAAATATTGTTAGCCTTCATTCAGAGTTTCTTTTGTTTGTTTTTTTTTTTTTTTTTTGACGAGCGAATAAAATTCCACTCGAATTCGGAAAAGGATTCAAAAACACGCCGTGCGAAAGGAAGTTTTTTTTTTTAGTTTTTTTCGAGGCAGAGGAATTTTTGTACTCAAATCAAAACTTTGTAATACCCTCTGCCTTCGAGCAGGCATAAATATATTTCTATAATACCCGAGTGTCCTCTCGTCCTGCGTTCCCTCTCTCTCTCTTTCTCTCTCTCTCTATAGATGTAAAAAAAAGTCCTTCGACTGTAATTCATGGGTCATTCTTAATTATTTATTTTATTATTTATTAATTATTTAGTTTTGTTTTGAAAATCTTGCCTCCTTTGAGTAAATCGCGGTCAAACTTCATTATTAATATTATTATACGATTCTTTTTGAGCTGGTGTTTATCCTCGTGTTTTCTTTTCAAATCGAATAACATTCATTTGGTTTAAATCTCGTTATAATTTTTTTTTTTCTTTTTCTTACGAGTATTATTTTTTAATTGATTATATTTTGAATTCGAATGTGCTTGATCGATTCTCGTACGAAATATTCATTTGCCTCCAGAAATTTCTGAAATTTTTCTAGTTTTTTTTTTTTTTTTTTTTTTACAATTATTTACTACTTCTTTTCATCCTTCATTTTTTTTTTAAATTTAATTGTCTTTTCTTTAATTACATACTTCCAATTATCAATTTAATGCAATACTTTTAGTTTCAATTAATTAGCTTTCACATTATTAATTTTCAATTTCAATTATTTTCTTTGATTCAATAATTTTCATTTCCAGATATCGGTGAGTCTTTTTTTTTCTATGATCCTATTGTATATAAAGTTGAGAACAATGCAGTATGCGCACAATGCTCTCAATATTGTGTGTGTGTGTGTGTGTGTGGATCATTTTAGAGAAAAGACACTAATCCGAATTCTAGTGATTTCAATTATTTTCTAAATTTTAATAATTGTTATTATAAATTAACGTTTACTTCGAAAAAAAAAAAAAAATTTCTCTTTCATCACTCAAATTTGCCAATATTCATTTCTTCTAGATACCACATTTCGTCTAAAAAACGTATATAATCTAGACATTTTCGCAATGACTCGCGTTTAAAAATTTTTTTTGAGATTCATTGATAGCCATTTTAATTCTGTCCAAAAGAGAGAATCAATCTTGAGCCCAAAAGCGTTGTGCTTTTTTTTTTTTTTTTTTTTTTTTAAATCACCCATCTGCATCTGTAATTTACAAATTTTTTTTTTTTTTGTACACTTTTTCATTTCTTTTGTAATTCTCTTCAAATATCGCTAGAATTGACTTATTCGTTTGAATGATGCTCGCAGAGACTGAAATAAAGTGACATATCAATGATTATCAAGGAGAATTTTTTTTTTTACCCTGTCGTTCAATATAATATAATCGCACAATAATTGTTTGTACGCATATTCAATACTTATAATACAAATAACCGCAATTAATAGTCTCTTTTGCAAATTTAATAATGGTAATAAGTTTAAGTCAATAATAATAATAATAAAAATAATAATCGTAATAATAATAATAATAATAATAATAATAATAATAATAATAATAATAATAATAATAGTTAATAGTTAATAATAATATTAATAATGATAGTAATAATGATAATAATATAATTTGTGATAATATTCTAATAATTATAATAATTAAAGCTTGGATTGTCGTAATATCCCAAAAACATCGTCTTTATATTGTAAAAGTTGAGAACCTATTATAATCAGCTGACGTTTTCGGAATAACGCTAGTCCGAGCTTAATAATAATTTTAATAAATAGAAAATGAATAAAAATTTTGATAATCTCAGAGATTAATGATCTCAATTTGATAGTATTTTTTTTTTTTTTTTTCTATCAAAATGTCCTTAAAGAATCTAATCTATCCATTGTAAAACAGATTCGATTTCAAGAATTATTTTAGATACGTGGTATTTCGATTTTTTCGATGCCGTTTTTTGTGCGTTGCGTTAGAACCTAATCCTGGCCAGCAATTGCACTAATTTGTAAGCTTTTCCCTTTGAAGCTGATTTTTTATTTTTGCATTGCACACGATACGAAACTGCCGAGCGAACTTTTTTTGCATTGTCACTCTGAATATAGCAATTTTTTACATTCGGACGAGAACGATTTTTTGTGTGTGTGTATTTTTTTTTTTTTTTTTAAAAACATTAAACATATGGTAAAGTCGTTTAATAGTTATTAAAAATGTGTTTTTCATCGTGCTATTTGTATATATGTCAGTGTAACTGTGTGTCTGTGTATAAATATATGTGTGTAAGTTAAAACGTACGAAGCAAAGTTTCGTTTTCTACAATAGGGAAAAAGTTGCGACTGCTTGTTTGTTGTAAAAAAATTTTTTTTTTCTTAAGACAATATTCCTGCTATGAATTTATCAATCAAATATTTACAAAGAGCAGTTCATACATTTTCCCTTGTTGAAAGAATTGAATTTGCGATAGCGTTCATACACGATTCTGCAAAATTTGAAATTAATTTAATATCATTTTATTTTATTTATTTTTTTTTTTCTTCAAGAAACATTGCCTAATGCGGAGAGATGGGAGTGGGTACGAAAACTATTTGTTATGCATTACCCCCTTCCACACTTTTTACACATTTAGCATACTCTCAAGTTGAGCGTCAAAAAGATCTGTATAAAAAAATTTTTTTATATTCAAAAAATGAAAAAATTTATTTTCTGAATAATTTTCATACATTTTTTTTATTTTAAATAAAATTTTTGAATTGGAAAAAAAAGCAGAAAACGCGTTAGACGGCAATCGCTTGGAAAAAGAAATCTTGAGACTGCGTTTAGGCTGAAGAAATACTGATGAGGAAAGAGAGAGAGAGAGAGATTGAGAGGGAGAGAGTGAAAACAAAAAGAAGTATCGCAAATTCAGCCCAGATGCAGACTCAAGACATAAATTTACCTGCGCAATATTGTATGGGGTTAATTCGAGTAATCGATATAGGTAACTATACGCGCCGATTTAACAGCCATTATTTCGTCATTTATCACGAAATACCGTCGTCAAATGACGCAAGATGAACTTCCTCAAAGAGTTATATTAAGCCAAAGAGAATTGGAAAATAATAATTTACATAGCTGAATTTTCCTTTTTTTTTGGCTAATTAAAAAACAAAAAAAAAATCTCGCGTCAACTTGGCGCTCGGTGGTGTTCGATCTGTTATATTTTCGGTGATTGAATAATTATAAATAGCGTCACACCAAACATGTAACGTGTACGAATGAAACTTCCTTTCATCTCTGTTATATACACACTCAAGGAGAGAAATAACATTAAATGTTGTCATTCCTTTTTTTTTTTTTGTCCATAATGAATTTGAAAAAAAAAGACGACAGTGCCATTGTTCTCCTGAGTGTGAACGCGTGTGAGCGTGCCATTGTGATTAATTATATATATTTATATATATATAATTAATGATTAACCATCATTTTTAATTTTCATCATATAATTGTTCGTACGTGAATTGGTATTTTGCCTTTCGCTTAATAGCTAAGATCATACGTTATCTAGTAATTATTTATCAATCATTTATTATTTATATATATATTTTTTTATATACTTAACCGCTTATTTATTTAGCAATTAATAATAATTATTAATTTAATTCATTATTATATTATTATTTATTAATGTCGGAGAACGGGTTGGCGCCAAAATTGCAGGTTCGGCTGTGGGCTCGACTTATAATAAAAAGAGGTCGCGGGTTTTTTTTTTGTCTTCTTGAAATTTTTTGTTTTGGCTTCTTCTTTTTTTTTTTTTTTTTAATGTTGGACCTCTTTTTTCGACGTGCCTTGGTGATTACTTTTTTGTTCACTTGTTTTTTTTTATCCTCATGACTTACGTCACAAATTTTCGATGCAATCCCTACAACGCTCGTGACTCCGTTTCCTTTCATTGACATTCTTACATATATATATAAATGTATGTATATATATGTATGTATGACCACGCTCAATCACCGTCGGTCACTCTCGGAACATGAAGCTTTTTTCGCCGGAAACGATTGCCCACGTCGCAGTTCCTTGTCATTCTTGGAATATTGTTGTTTCTTTTTTTTTTGCGCTGATGACTCTTTTATTCATTTCCGTAGCTTTCGTGTAACCCGTTGTGCCGTCAGTCGACCATGCTGCGCTCTACCCTCTCGTCCATCCTTAAACATAATAATTTTATTTATGAAAATACACTGTAAAAATGTGTGTCTTCGTTTGAGACATTTGCATGGTTGGAATTCATAAATCTTTATTAAAAATTTATATGATCAAGACTAACATTACATACGAAATAGAAATGTTCATTGTGCTTTATGGGTATATAATTATAATAATTACACAGTTTTCCTAAAAGTATCAAATTGAGACCAAAAATTGCATCAAATCTTTGCAACGTTTTGATGCACATAAGTTATATCAAAAAGAGATCGATTTGTGTATCATTTTTAGAAATGATACACGAAACGGTCTCATTTTTTGATGCAAAAAATTTAATCAATTTATATCAATCATGGCCGAATTGAATCGACTAAAAATTAAACGAATTTTTTTCAGATATTTTGGTAATAGTACAATTGCGGAGACCATTTCACTATTTAATTTGAAAATGAAAATCACAGAAAATCAAAGACAATGTGCAATTCGATAATTAAAAAGTGACAGCTTATAAACATAACCTAAAATGCATGAGAAAAAATTTGTCGATAAAAACAATATAGCCGAGCTTCTTAGAAGGTAGATGGCAGCACTCATCTATTTTCTTTCTTTAAATTTTTTCTGAATCGTTTTTATAAAAAGCAAAACCAACATGTGAAATGTAAACAAACCATGCACATTTTTTCGCACTTCTCATTTTCGTAGAAAATAAAAATTTGTCGTTTTCTTTATGAAAATGGTAAATTAATGTATTAAAGTTGGTAACTATACTTTATTTAACTAATTATATGAAAAAATAAGTACAAAATTATATAATGAAATGAAAAGTACACTGAATTAGCAATTTTTTCAAGGTTTCGAAAAAAAAACCATTTGAGTATATCTGAGGCACGGACGTTAAGCACTTAGGTGGGAGAAAGAGTTGAGCCATTGGACGGTCACATCTTGGAAAGGGTAAAATTTCAGAATTTTACCCTTTCCAAGATGTGACCGTCCAATGGCCTGCTCTCACTTTCTCCCACCTAGGTCCTCAACGTCCGTGCCTCAGATATACTCGAATGCTTAAATTTTTCGTAACCTTGAGAAAATTGCTAATTCAGTGTACTTTTCATTTCATTATAATTATACTTATTTGTTCACATAATTAGTTAAATATAGTATTGTTACCTAGTCTAATATATAAATTTACCATTTTCACAAAGAAAACGACAAATTTTTATTTTCTAACCAAATGAGAAGTGCGAAAAATGTAAGAAAATTATGAGCCAAAAGTTTTGAACGTTCATATGAACGAAATATTTTTTTCAATTTATAAATATAATTAAAAATTATAATGTCAATGTAAAACAAAACAGTAAATTAAATAATAGAAATAAAAAAACTTGTTTTTAGATATTTAGAACTATATTTTGTAATAAAATTCCTATTTAAAGGAGTTGCTAAAAAAAATTTCGTTCATTTGAACGTTCAAAACTTTTGGCTTATAGAAAATTGATAAACTTGAACATTGAACTTTTCATTTTATAATAGTTATACTTATTTGTTTAGAAAAGTTGTTAAAAGAAGTATAGTTACCTAGTATAATATATCAATTTACCATTTTCATAAAGAAAGTTACAAATTTTTATTTTCTATTCAAATGAGAAGTGCGAAAAAATGGGTATGATTTGTTTAGATTTTGAACGGTTTTTTCGCACTTCTCATTTGAATAGAAAATAAAAATTTGTAACTTTCTCTATGAAAATGGTAAATTGATATATGATACTAGGTAACTATACTTCTTTTAACAACTTTTCTAAACAAATAAGTATAATTATTATAAAATGAAAAGTTCACTGAATTTTGCATGGTTTGTTTACATTTCATGTTTGTTTACATTTCAATTGTTGGACATACCCTTAAAACAGCATATAAAAGTCAGTTTTCATTGAAAAGATAACTTTTTTTTTAAATTAAACTGAATATTGAAAATTAAAAAAAGATGAATTATCGAAAAGAAGATATTTAATAATTAACTGAATTAGTAAAAAAAAAAAAAAAACAATAATTATGATTCTGAACGTTTTTAAAATTTTGAGAAATGATAAATTCAAGTAATAAAAATTATAAATACCTGTTGTTAGGTCGTAGGAAGGCTCAATGGTAGCCATTAGTGAATGCGGCTGGTATCAGGGGACCCTGAAACAGGACGTGAGAATCCTATCACTAATCTGATTAATTCTACTAACAGTTGCTTTCTTAAATTATCAGTTAAGAAAGTTTTAACGATGACCATAGATGCAATATTATTGCGCTCTTTGGCCATCGATAATATACTTGAAAAAATTCAACGATCCTTTGTGTTAGGTGGAGACAAAAAAATTACCAAAATCTTTTTTTTTTGTAATTATTGTTTACTTTTTGGTAAGAAAAGAAAAAGATTTTTCCAAAGTAATGAAATATTTTATATATTTTAATGTTGTAAAAATTGAAAATTGTTTGAAATGAAAATTTCTTTATAGTCATCAATGACAAAGAGAATATTTTGTTTTGTTTCTAGAAGTGAGATGAATTTACGACTTCCATTCTTCATCAAGAAGATGACGTGTAATATCTTTCTGGATAGAATAGAACAGGTGAATCGCACTCAAATCTTGTAACTTACTTGTCGCAAGTCTCCACTTGACACATGTTCACGTACGGTGTACCGGAAATTCCTGGACTAGAAGTCATATATATATATATATATAGGATTAAGTCGGTGAGTTTGAGTGCTGTTATAGTAAAGTTAGCCTCGAGAACAAGATCACGTTCAAATGTTACATTAATCTCGAGTACAAGATCTTGAGAAAAAAAACTCACAACAAAAAAGTACAAAATTCAATCATTTTCATTATTGTTTTTCAATTATTCATTAATTTCTCATTTTAGTTTCTTATTTTTTAAATAAACAATTTAGGGAATTTTTGTATTAAATTTCCGTTAAAGAACACAAAAAAGGGGCGCATGATTATTTTATAAAAATAATTAGTTACAATTTTCAATTTAAAAAATTGTTTATAGATATAATTATTTTTAAGACAAATTTTCATTTTTCGAATTAGTTTTTAACAAATTTTCACTTTAACAAATTTTTCGATACCAACCATTTAATTAGCAGAATTTTTATTTCACTGAATTTCTTTTTACTCAACTTTTTTTATTGAATAGAAATCTAATTAAAGTGAATTTTAATTTAACATATAATTCTCATTCAACAGAGTTTTGAGTAATGTGAATTTTCAAATGTTAAAATTTATTTGTGTGAAAAAAAAATTGTTTTACAAATATTCTGCAGACAATCATATATACATATATATATATTGGCTTCGAAAGTGGGAATTTCCAGTATTACCGTTTTAGAATAAAGTGGGGATAAAACTTACGGGATTATAGTTGAGCGGGGCACGGGAAACTGCGATCGCGGGAAACGCGGTGGTGGGTGGTTGCGGACTAGCTGCTGCCTGGACATAGCTGGCTACTGCAGAATCCGCAGCTGCGGCGGCTGCTGCTGCTGCAGCACTCGAACTGTACATGTCAATAGGCCCTGGCGAGTTGGCTGCAGGAAACGAACGGCCTTGTGGTCCATGACCACCGGCTCCGTGTGGCGACGCTGGTGGAAATCCAGCTTGCGCTGCTTGATAGTTATTCATCACTGTAAAGAATCATCAATTTATTTATTTATTTATTTTTTTTTTAATTGACAAATCGATTCTTATAATTACTTTCTTTCGTTTATACTTTTTCATATATACAAGGTCATTTTTTTTCGTTTTTTAAACCAAGAAAAATGGAATTAAAAAATTTTAGCGAGTTCCGAACAAAAAACTCACCTTTATATTAATCAGACAAAAATGTCACAAGTGAAAATTAAAATATGTGAAAGTGGAAATAGAAGTTTGAAAAAAAGAGAAACATTTTTTTATAAAACAGAAAATTAAGAAATAGAAATTTCAAAATAAATTAAAAATATACACAAATTTTTTTTTTAATTAAACTCATTTTTTTTGTCATTTATTTTACATTATTTGTAATATTTTCTCAAAAACATCAAATAACAAATGAGAAAAGTTAATTATTATTTTTTATACGAAATTTAGGTTAAAATGAATTTTAATAAATTTTTAAGTTAAAAATTAAAATATTTACAATTTTCAATGAAATTAATAAAAAAATGGTTATCTTTTTTTGTTTTCAATACAATTTGAGGGATGTTAAAAATTGTGTAAAACATGGTGAATTAAAAACTTTTGTTTGGATATGAAAATCAATTGAATTTACTACCAATCACAATTGTTACCCTCAAGGCGTATTTAATTAATGAAGTTATATTGAAAAACATGCCAAGCGCTAGAAAACCAGATTTTAGTGAAAAGTGAAAAAATTGGAAATTTTTTATAATTGCACTATTAAAATAGTAATAGTAGTCAAAAAATTTCTTTAATTATTTTAAATAATTTGCATTTTTGACGAAAAAGATTTTTTTAATTAGGTTGAAAACAAATTATTATTGGAAACCAGTGTTTTGGAATGAAAAATTTACTAAATCAAATAAAAAACATAGTTACAATATTCAGTTTGAAAAATCAAGAAAGTTATGCATGAACCAAAAAATATTCATGTTATCTGAAAGCAATATTGGTCTTCAAAGGATTAACATATATTTAACATTTAAAAAAAAAATAAATTTAAAAAGTAAAACTTTGTACCTAACGTTACAAAATTGAAATTCTTTTCTAAAAAAAATTCGTAATTATCATTATTTAAAAATACACAGTTTTCCATCAAATAGACAGTATTTATTAATTTCATTCTAATTTCTCTCTTTGTAAACCAAATTAAAATTATTATTAATTTCAGTAAAAATGAAATGCATAATTTATCGGAGTGATATATGCTTTTGAAGTGCAAATGATAATAATTAAAAAATAATTTATAAAAACAACTGTAAATTGGACTTTTGAAAAAAATTTCTACATTTAGCATAAAATGTTGATTAAAACAAGTCCATGTATATATATACAAAAAAGAAAAATTCATTCACGTCAAACTGAATTCAAAAGAGTACAGAAAATATAAAATAAATGTTTATAAAAATTTTTTATTTAACGGTCGAGGCTTCATCTAAGAAATCACTTTTCCTTGAATTTTTATATATATGATTAATACATATGTGTCCTGACGCGGTGAAAGGGACCTTACGGTTCCAAAGCAAATTTTACAGGAGAGGCGCTCGAAGTGTAGCACGAAAATAGACATTTGAGTAGTGGGGACGTACAACTGCAAATCAGCACCACTGCTCACCACTACAACGCTACACTCATATGTCTGTGAGCATGCTACCTTCGTGCATCTTCGGCTCTACCATATCTTGTACCTCCCTACTCTTTCTAAGCTCTGATGTAAACATTGCCCTGGGCCCGGCAAATGGATTCATTTTCTATTAAAGTTAATCGATTAATTTTGATTGACAAAATAATACGTAAATAACTTGAAATATCTTGTTCGGATTTGTCGGATTAATTAGATGAGGGCGAGCTGATTAAGAAGCATCTCCATTTTTAAAAGTAATTTTGTGGTTATAAAAGTTGGATTTTTGACAGAAGTGGGGACAGACATTGAATCTATGTGTCAGTGGCCCAGAAGGTGGCGCCAATTCTAGCTAGTGGCCGCTGCTGAACTAACTTACCCCAAATTACTCCACTTTAAATCTTTAATAAAATAATTTCCTCACAATATTATTGCAAAAATAATATTCCTCTATTATTCCTCCAAATGCCAACTCGAAATACTTTATCCTTTAAAGATGAGAAGAAATTTACGAAACCCCTTTTTGACAATGTTTAAACATTTTTTTAATAATTATTTATTAATTCTCTGAAAATCGTTGTTATCAAATAAAATTAATTTTTATTATTTATTTTATCAACAGAGAAATTTTCAATTTTTACTTTTCTTACAACAGTAAAAATAACATTACTTTTGCTGTATAAATAAGTTATATGTCTTGAATTTAAAATATAAATTATTATTATTATTATACATTATTAAAATAATGAAAATCTAATAAATTGTTTATTGCAATTTTACTGGCTTTAATATGAGATAAATCCATTTTCCGGGCCCAGCGCAATGTATACATCAGAGCTTAGAACTAGTGGGGAGAGACAAGAAATGGTAGAGCCGAAGATGCACGAAGGAAACACGCTCACCGATATACGAGGGTAGCGTCGTAGTGGTGAGCAGTGGTAGTGGTTTTGCAGTAGCCACGAGGCGCCCGAGAATACGCGGAAAAGTACTTATGTTTAAAGCTATATAACACAATAAGTATTTGAAGGAGACAAATTTTAATTGTTGGAAATGAAAAAGCAACTCAAAAACTATCGATTGGTATAAAAAAATAAAAATCGATTTATTTAATCATAAGGTCCCTTTCACCGCGTCAGGACACATATTTCTAATTAGGGTAAATAATAATTAATAATAATAAACTTTAAACCATTTTTAAAACATTGAAAACTATCAATATTTGATCAATATTTTTATGAGACGTATAATTGTCCCATAAAAATCATTTGTTAGGATTTTAATTTTCAACAATTTTATTAGATATAATTATTTTTTAGACGAATTTTCATTTTTTTAATTAACATTTGTCAGGAATTCTTTTTTAAAGAATTTTTATTTGGTAGAATTCTTAAAACACCGAATTTTTATTTAACCAAAATTGCAAATGTTCGAATAAAAAATCGACAGAAAAATTTCGGCGCGATTTTTAAAATCCACCAATCACGATTTTCTTGACAAATTTTGATTGGTGAATTTTAAATATCGAGCGGAAATTTTGTTGTCTATTGTTTGTTGGACCATTTGCAATTTCGGCTAAATAAAAATTCGGCATTTTAAGAATTCCGTACAATAAAAATTCGATATATATAAGAATTCTGTTAAGTAAAAATTTGTTTAAAAAGAAATTCTGTCAAATGTTAATTCGAAAAATAAAAATTCGTCTAAAAAATAATTATATCTATTAATATACTTTAAATGGAAATTTTAACTGATGATTTTTATGGGTTAATCATGCGCCTCATTTTCATAATAAATTGGGTGAAAAGTATTGGAATGTTATGTATGTTTTATTAGTTATTATTATCTATTTCTTGCACGTAATTTTCGATTTTTTTTTCTATTTGTTTATAAGAATTTATTTTAAAAAATTAATTTTTTTAAATTTTAACGTCAAAAGTCGTTTCACGGTTTTTTATATTAATAATGATTTGTTACGTCGGATGCATAACGCAAGTATAAATTTCAGAGAATATTCGGAAATATTCTCTTATTTTATGTTTCGAGTCTATAGACTTGCGTCCACTAACTCGGGAACGATTCAAATTGATCAATATATGTAAATAGGGATTTTCGCGGGGAAATTAAAGGAATAATTACGCGATAAACGCATTAAAATCCTTAGGTAAGGTAATGAAAATTATGGTAAATACAAAAATACGACAAGGAAATTGAAGAAATAAGAACACGATTAACGCATTAATATTCTTCGGAATTATTTAGAGATGACAAGAAAAAGATTTAGATGAAAGTTAGACAGCAATTTTAATATAAAACTTACTTTTATTTAAACAAATTGGCACTTGTAGACTCGGAAATTGGTTGAAAAAGTGTTGAATTTTTGGCTTGAATCGTGGAAATTTTTAATACAATTTAAATTTAACACTTAGAAAATTGTTAGAAAAAAATGAAAATTAATTGAACTTGAACTTGAACTTGAACTTGAACTTGAACTTGAACTTGAACTTGAAGAAGAATTTGAGGAAGAAGTAGTTTTTTTAGAATTCTTGTGACTGTTTTTTGTGACTGACTTCTAAACGGGGTTCGTATTTTTATATCATTGTCCCTACCTATTTTTAGGGATGGAACTATGTTTTAAAATAATGGGTCTTAAAGTGGAGGAAAAAGAGGTTGGGAAATTACAAGGATTGGATCCAAGGAAAGAAAATGGGGAAAAAACTGGTTAGGTCAGTGACGGTATTGGGCCCTTCAGGCCCAGCCTTGAGAGATAAGAAGTTGCGTGGGCGTACTTGAATTAGGGGAGTTTTCAAGTGGAAGGGGCTTAAAGTTTTGACCGTTTTCAAGAGATGGAGCCAAAATTCAGTTTTCCAACCAATTTCTGAGTTTTTCATAATTTTCACATTATTAATATTAAAAATTAATTTAAACATTATGAATATTAATATTATTAGTTAAAAAGTTATTAACAATAATTTTTAACAATAAAATATAATTAATTATTAAAGTTTTAAAATATAAAGAATTTTGTATACTTAAATTGTTAATTAATGATTAAAAATTAATTTGAATAATTAAAAATAATTAAAATTTATTTAAAATTGTTTAATTTGTTTGTTAATTTAATTTTTATTATAAAAGTATAGAATATTCTTTATATTTAATAAAATTATTCTAACACGTTTAAAAAGTAATTTAAAATAATTGAATTAAAAATTAATAATAATCAAAAATGAGTAATAATAATTCAAATGTTTAAATAATATTTATAAACAATTATACACAATGAAATAATTAATTTTTAATAAAAATTTGAAATATTTTAAATAATTAAATCTAATTAAAGAAATCAAAATTAATTAAAGTTAATTAACAATAAAATTTAAACATTTAAACAATTATTATTCATTATTTATAATTAAATCACTCATTCTCATACTTTACATAAAAAATAGTTAGGTCTTGTTGTTTGCAAGAGTGCATCGGTGCTCGGGATATTTAGATAGTTACGCTAGATTATTCAACTATGCTGACTTTATTTACAGGAGATATCAGAATGATATCTTCAAAATACAATTCTTCTCTATTTTAATTTTCGGAACTGTTGATTTTGAGCTTAAGGTTTTGAGAATTTTAGACGTTTTAGAAATAATTGTTTTCTTGAAGAGAACGTTCTGATATCTTTTATTTAATTTAAGATTATTTACACTTGTAGTTTGTTTAGAAATATACGTTCAAAACAGCGACGAAGTGTGAGAAACACTTAAAATTCTAATTTTACCTAAACTAATCTTATTTGAACATTTATATGCTTAAAATATACACGGGACGTTACAGATTTTTAAAAAAAATCCACTATTACTATTAAAGTAGGAAAAATTTGAATTTGTGGAATAAGTTTTTTTTTTTTTTTATTTTTATTAAGATATTTTTAACCAATTTCATAAAATATTGTTTTATTTTCACATCTTTTGAATTTCGCGCCATTATCTTTAGTTTTCAAACAGTAGCGCCGTTATGGCGCACTCACACCTTTTTGTCTGCCTGCAGGTTACCATAGCAACGCATGGGTGTGAGTGAGATAGAAATTTTGAATATTCAAATTTTCTGTCGCACTCACTCTCATGCGTTGCCATGATAACCTGCATGCAGCCAAAAAGGTGTGAGAGCGCCTTTAATTTTTTGTTTTATGTTAGGATGCAGTTTCAGTACGGCGCGAATGTAGAATGCAATGCAGAAAACCATGAGTACAGAAGAGATAGAAAGATATAGCTATCCTTTTCACTCTCATTATTTTCTGCTTTGCATTCTGCATTCGCGCCATCATGCGACTGAAGACTTACTCATGCCTGTCAATTCACAGTTCCTAACCTAAAAATATTGTTTACTTAATTTAATAAATACAACAAATCGGTAAATTAAATATTAAGGTTTTCCCAACTGCCATGTGACTATTCATTAGAAACGATAAAATTGATCCAGGTAGCCAGATAATTTTGTGCCTAAGTTTTTATTATGTAGAAAAAAAAGTGCAATATGATTATACTATATACATAAAAAGATGTGACACTTAACTATATATATATAATAGAATGACAAGAAACGAAGTAGAAAGCAAATTTAAGAAGTCTTGTGTGAGGTAAGTTAAATGCACATATACAAGTTTTCGCAAAGACGTTTCTTAGAGATTTATCGACGTCACCAGACGAGAAGAGAGCGGAAGCAAGGGAAGAATTTGAAACTCGTCGACTAACAGGAAATGGCGCAAGGTATAGAGAAAGTAGGCGAAGACGGTCCAATGACAAACCGAACGCTAGGGCGTCGTACAATCTAAAAACCCATTCAGCTTTTAAACTCTTGACAATGCCGGCCAGTTACAAAGTTTTCTGCTGGTGCCAGAGGGGGTGCACAACCGAGGTAAACGGAAGGAGGTTGGCGTGATTCAAAAGTTTGATTTATTTGAGAGGAGATTGCGGACGGCGGCAGGGATGGGTTGTATATATATATATATATATTGTATATGGCTTGGATTGCAGAATGTGGAGGGTGAAAGAAGAGAAAAAAAAGAAGAAGAAGGAAGGAACAAGGCGTTCTATTTCGCTGTCGGCGTTGCGGAACTCCACATTGTATCCTTCTTCGAAATATCTTCGTACATACGTTCTCTCCGAGGAACTCTAATGCATTTCACATAATCCTTCAAAGTTATAGTAAAGTTCTGTCTTAAAGTCGGGTCGGGGGGAGGGGGGAACCCTTTGAATTTCAAGGATCTTGTTACTGTAGCTTTCAAACTGCAGATCACTTCTTTCTCCATGTTTTTTGTCGATATATTCAACTGACTGAAAGAAAGTAGAGGACAATCAATTTTTTATTCGAATCTGTATATTTAGTATTTTGGTATAAAAATAATTCAATTTACTTTGTCCTTTGTCGAAATATTGATATTTCATGTTCGTTTTAAGTAAAATTATTACACAAATTACCAGCCAACTGATCTCTATGTATAATATAACTAGACTAGACATGTGTAGTGTAGTCCAAATCGCAAATCAAGCTGGACAAAAGTCAAAATTTTTATATTTTTTAAATTACTTTACAATACTTGTAATACATTCCTGATGATATATTTAGATAGAAATTGTAATTGCTAAATCAATAAACATACTGAAACAAAAGAAAACTGGTATAAGCAACACCGAAAATTAAAACACTTTATTATAACAACTAAAATCTAACATAAAAAGTTGTCAATCTCAGTTAAAATTATTTACCGAATGGCAAATAGACTTTTTAAACTAAAAACTACAGTTATTTCTTTATCAAATTGATCAATCATATCTGAATTTAGATCCATATTAAGATATGTAAACTTATATTGGAAATACATTGCTTTGATTAGTTAAAAAAATTAATTAAAGAGTAGCAAAAGTATGAGGTGTTGAAAGCCGTTATATAAAACCACTTTCATATTACATATACTTTTCACACCATTAAAAATTGCTAAGGTTAAGTTTCATAACCATATCTAACCATTTGACTTAGATATTTACATTTTAGTGACTGCATGTCAAATTTCAAAATTCAAAAGTAATTATAAATTGATATTTACACTGTTGTAAACTTTATGTCACATCAATATAAGAGTTTTTATGGTCTCTAAATGTAAATAAGATAAGATACTAAAAATTTGAAATGACTGATCCAATATGGTGGGCGATTTTGTTTGAAATTGATATAGTTTCCTTGCAATTTTTTATTACCTTTACACTCTAAATCTGAATCAGTAAAAATTTCACTGAGAATCAGTAAAAACCATTGATTGTCAATGAAATTCCACTGATTCATCAAAGAAAACTCGTCTACTGAATTGAAAATCGTAAAATAGTCACTGATTCAGATTTAAAGTGTAAATACGTCGGTAATAACTAATCTTTTTTTTGCCTACAAATTTTTTGTCAATAAATTATTGATCAAGAATTGTTGCAAAAAAATTTGTAGATCAAAAATAATAATAATAATTTGCATAGAAAAATATTTTTTCTTCTCGTACGTTGATCATAAACGTTGTGAACTTCACTGACGTGTGTAAATATCACTTTTTTTACAGCACTATGATTACAGTTTCAGTATAAAATTTGTAATCTTTAAATAAAAAAACATTTTGTATTTTTAAAGCCTGACTTAAGATTTTTTAAATCAACGACGCTAAAAACTCCCGTCTAATTATTTTATAAATTTCTAAAATTTTCGAACTTTCGTTCGCCATATTGAATCAGACATTTTGAATTTTAAAAAAATGACATCGGATTTGTAATCGCCGACCTCAAAAACCCCAAAGTAAGAAATGGTGTAAAAATTAATCAAAGCAATTTTATCAAAAAATTACTAATATTACAATAACAAATTGGCCGATTCTTTTATAGAGAAAATCGGGTCTTTGGTTTCAATGTGCTACAAAAAATTGAAAAATAAAAAAAAAACCTCCCACACGGAGAGAAAAATCTGCCTTTTATAGTATAGAAAGGTTTACATTTAATGCACAGAAATTTTCTATGCTATATAGGCATGAAATTTGAGTAATTATAGTACAATCGTATGTCTTTTTAGCATGAAACTTGTCTATGCTAATAAAGTTTGTCATATAGCCTCTTATTACATACTTATTATACTTTTAATCCAACGGCGCCATGCGAAGATCGCACATAACATCATCCTACTATTTTTGCATAAGTTCTATGCTTTTTCGGGGATAGACTCTTGCAACTGGCGATTAGGGCAGTTCCAATTAAGTAAAGGTGGGCGTGGCCTAATCGCCAGTTGCAAGAGTCTATCCCCGAAAAAGCATAGAACTTATGCAAAAATAGTAGGATGATGTTATGTGCGATCTTCGCATGGCGCCGTTGGATTAAAAGTATAATAAGTATGTAATAAGAGGCTATATGACAAACTTTATTAGCATAGACAAGTTTCATGCTAAAAATTCTCAAATCTTTGCTCTATTAGTATGAAAAGTTTAAAGAAAAATAGCAGCAATCTATTTCATACACGGAGAAAAAGAAAAAGTAATTTTTACTACTTTCAGAGTAAAACTGGACCAACTCGAAGTTTCTGCGCATCTCTGGCAATTTTTACTCCAAAAATAGTAAAATTTACTCTAGAAATAGTAAAACTTACTACGGAAACAGTAAAATTTACTACAGAAATAATAAATTTTACTATTTTTGGAGTAAAAATTGCCAGAGATGCGCAGAAACTTCGAGTTGGTCCAGTTTTACTCTGAAAGTAGTAAAAGTTACTTTATAAAAGAAATCTTTTTTCTCCGTGTACTATAAAAGGCAGATTTTTCTCTCCGTGCAGGGATCCCTAGAAAAACATCTCCCTTAACAAATACATTTTGATTTTTTTGTTTTAGATGATTCTATTGCGAGTTACAGTGAACACCGCAAAATAACTATTTTTGGGGGAGCCAGAGGAAATGTACTGTCACTCGATCAATTCTCAATATTTTGCAATGAAAATTTGGTGAAATACTGTTCAAATGTTGTACTATTATATAAAAATTTAATAAATATATATTAACTCTTTCTGTATATAGCCAAAAAAAAAATTCGTAAAAATATGCATTTTTTCATCGAATTAACCTTACCCTCCCCTTAAACAAATATATTATTTAAACAAATGAACATTTCAGCAATATAATGATTGATCGTTATTCTAGGATAGTTAATGTTATATTACGAATTTCGTCCAATTTTTTAAAGCACTTTTTAAAGCGTCGGACACGAGTGACCCATGATTACAATCAACGTAGGTCAAAAACCATCTTACAGTCTAAGGGTTAATATTAATATCATTGAAATTAACATTTAAGGGTATGTGGGAACCTCCCACGTGACCTAGTATGGAAAAATGTGTTTTGGTAGTAAACGTTTCACTCTAAAATCAGAAAAGAATTTTGTTTAAAATTTTGAGGGATGATAGATTTGGGTACAAGGAATCTCGCTGTTCTCCGAAAAATACATAATTTTGCGTTAAATTATTAAAAAATGAAGTTTAAAAATTGGCATTTTTTAGCGAAAATGAAAAGAAACATGGCGGCGCAACAGACGTTGCTTGAGTGTGTCAGTGCTCCAGTAAACAGCGCCAATTCGAGCAAGTGGCCACTCAATGAACTACGATTAAATACATTATTTTACTATTTATTGCTTTATTTTTATTATTTTTGCGTGAAGTTTTAGTAAATGAGTAGAACAGCGAGATTCCTTGTACCAAATAAAATCATTTTTCCAAAATTTTAAGCCGAAATCATTTTTTATTTCACATAAAGTTACAAACCACAAAAAAAACGTCCTTTGCCCACATACCCTTAAGTGAAAATGGTTATTATTATTATTATTAAAATGTCTAATTTTTAGGTTATATTTGGTTTTTTTACATTTTACACTGTAATATTGAAATTAATACAACATTGCCAGTTATACGTAGTCATTAACTGTTATTTTCACTCTAACCTCCAAACTTTGACGTGACGTATTATATTAAATTACAAAAAGAAGTTTTCATTAAAAATTTACAGAATATAAAGCAAAATGTAAAAAATATTGACAGTTATTATGAATTATTAAAATAAAAGGTTCTTCTTTGGAATTTATTAAATGTAAATTGATTAACTGTCTATTATTGGAAAAATGTGATTCTTTCATAGAAAAATTCTCGACCATTTTTTATTTTTTTTTTAATATTTGTGAAAATATATAAAGAAGGCAACGAAAGAAAGCGTTTGTATATACTTTTTTTTGCGAATGGAAAATGTTAAACATACCAGACAGAGCTTGCGTGAGCAAGGGTGTGTTGTTGTTCGGGGTGAGCTGTCCATTGGTGAGATCCACTGTAACACAAAGCTCTGATCACAATTGTTCTTACACGCAATTTTTTTTTTTTAAATATTATAATACTGTTGACCCTTCTCTTCATATAATAGTTTCACGTGTTAATAAAAAAAAAAAAAAAATTATACCCCGATTATACAACATAAAATTTCAACTTATGACCAATGTGTTGCTTTTCTCATAATGGGTTTTAACCGACTTAAATTAATATATCCATAAATATTATTTTTTTTCCTTCTTTTATTATTGCATTTTAATAACTCTTTTTTTGGTAGGGGGCGGAAAATTAATCCTTTTTTTTAGAAGTGTTCATAATTCTACTTAAAATTTTACAAACAATTTCGCGGTACCTACTCTCTAAATCTGAATTAGTTAGTTCTCATGCAATGAGGATTAATTTGTGACATGGAAAATAAATATCTGATAATGATATACCTAAAAAGTTTTTTTTTCTAGTATTTATGTTTGTATACAGTGAAGAAGTAATTTTTTTGTCAAAAAATAGTTTGGACGTTCGTTGTATAAAATTTTTCTTTTCAAAAATTAATTATTTTTCATAAAAAATTTGAAAATTCGTAATATTAAAAATTGAGAAGAAAGAAATGTATGAATATCGTGAGATATAGAAAAAAAATGGATGTGAGGTATATATTTAAAATGAATGTTAAATGCAAATACATAAAAATCTGTCTGTCAACTAATGAACCTCAAATTCATACATTTCTCTCGTAGAGCAGCCCTTTGGAAATGTTGGACCGGTCCTTTTGAATACAAGTAGCCCACAGATCCGGTTTCCTGGTAGAAAACTGACGGCACTCCTGGTATTAATGGAAAAAAAAATTCTCAGAGAGGAACTCAAAAAAAATTAAATGAATATAAAAAAATTATTAAAAGAATGAAAATGAAATTTTTAAAAAGTTAAAATTAAATTTCACTTTTATGAATAAATTTATAAAATACATGGGAGAATATTATTGTCGAATACAAAAATTATACTTTAAAATAGTATAATAGAAAATAGTATTTTAATACTCGTTATTATTTTTAGAAAATAAAATTTTATTTTTACAAAGGGGAATTCTGCTTTTCAAAAAGTAAAATTAAATTTTTCAATTTTTTTTTCTGAAAATAAAAAATTGATCATTGCGACGTTTTTACAGAAAATGAAATAACTTTTACAAATTTTCTCTCCTGATTGGGATCAAAAAGTAAAATTTTTCTAAAAGAACAATTAAATTGAATAACTGATAACTTATTAATATTGTTGTAATATTTAAAGTGTGTTGTTTTTTTTTTTTTTTTTTTTTTTTTTGAAGCAGCAGGAGAAATAATGGATTAAAATTATTCTTTTATAAGGCAGAGTATAAGTATATTTATAATGCTTCCTTTTTTTGTTTTGAATGTAGGAAAAGAATTTTTGATTTTAACTAAAAATGTAATTATTTTTTTTTAATCGAAAGCTGAGGTTTTCTCCTACACAAATATATATTTGAAAAAATGGGATAAGAATGTTTAAATATTGAAAAATAGTAAAACCTCAGCTTTCGATTAAAAAAAAAAAATCGTACCTTTCACCCCAAAAAATTCAAATTCATTTTTAAGTTTCATTTTTATAGTCAAAAAAAAATTTTTTTTTTCAAAAATGCATATTGCCAATCGAAAGAGCATCAAAAAAGCTTTCGCAACTGATATTAATAAAAAAAATTTATTTTGATGTTAAAAAAAAAAAAATTATTAAAACATGCGGTGTACCGTAAAACCCCACAACTTTCACCCTCCCTCACCCCTCGAAAAATATTGAACTAAATGAAAAAATATTTTTACCAAAAATTAACGTCTATGAGTACTATATATAAATGTCTCGAGTTTAAGCGTGATCGGAGAAAAAATTTGTTGTACCTTGATCACTACACCTGGGATACGCCATAAATGAAAGTAAGCCCAAAATGACACGAACGTATCACAAAAATAAAGGACAAAAAAGAAGAGAGAGTTTTAAAAATTAGAGTGAATGAAGTATATATATACATGTAAATAAATACACGAAGTGAGAAACAAAGAAAATGAAGTCATTGGTATCCCAGCAATGCAATGCTGGGAAAAGCGGATTTTCATTGGAAGGATCCATGTAACCAAAGCTCTATGCCAGTGCTGATAACGCGATAAGGCAGGGTGAACGGACCATAAATTGCGAATGGACGTGATTTGTATGGGGGTATCATGGCGCTTAATGGCATGGGCCGTCTCTATCGACGGGGTTGTAAGCGGAAGTACGGGATTCAATGCGGGTTCCAATATACATTCAACGGGTTATAGTTGCGCGCGCTCTCTCTTTCTCTCTCTCTCTCTCTCTCTCTCTCTCTCTGTGAAAGATTTGTTTGCCAAATTATTTGACAAACAACATTTCAAATCATTTATTTATATCTAAAAATTCCAGCCAATTACAATTAAGCAAATAATAAAAAAAATAAGGTCAGAAAAAATTTAAAAAAAAAAAAACAGACAAACCAGGTTGTTATTAAAGTATAGTATAAAAGTTTGAAATGTTTGTGAAAATAAAATTTCAAACTGCATCAGTGATTCTCGACTTTTATGGCCCCGGAGTAACATAAACCAGAAACAGTATCAGTGGTTCCCAATTTACAAAAGTTCAAATATCCGAGGGGAATAAAAATTGTAACATTCTCGCACATGTGAATATTGACATTTTACTATTATGTATATATATATATCTGTATAGTGGAAATCTTTTTTTGTAGGACAATAAACATATAGTTGTTTCAAATATATTGTGTGCAGACATTCTCAGGAGCGGAAGAAAGAGCTTTTCAATTAATAGTTAAATTAAACGAGCTTGTTAAATTTATTAAATTCCAAGGGGAAGAATACGAAACATAAATAGTGGTTGGACGTGATTTGTACAGTTGGGTTTTCATGGGGATGAGAAGAAGGGGCGGTCAGTTTCGTACCGGAAGTTCGGAATCTACAGAGAGTGATAAATCTGCCGGGAGTAATTTTCTCCTTTCTCTATTTGTTTTCAGTATATAGGGTTTGGATTATAGCTTTTTCAGGAAATGGGAAAAACTCGATTTTCAAACTGAACTAAACTTGTAATGCTGATTCTTATGAAAGATAATTGTATATATAAACTTGTTGCTCATCATTTTATGTATACATACATTTCTTTTTTTTTTTTTTTGTTGAAATGATCATCATCTTTGTATAAAAAAGAAGTAATTCGCGCGTGCTTTTACATTTATACATGAACATGTTTAATATAAAACGTCCAAGTTTTTTTTTTCTCATGATGATGGTAAACCGCCACGAAACGAGGAACATGGATATAAAGAGGGATGTAGGCCAAGAGTTCATCTATTTCGAGTGAACTTCCAGCTGACGTAAACGCGATTGAGACTCTGGATAAGGGTGGCGGATGCGCGAAATCCTGCAGACTCCTTTACGCCCTTTTTCAAGACGCGCATTCATCCCTAGGGGCAAAAAATATAACGCGAATTTTCTTATATCGAGAAATCGGATGGAACTTGCAGGTTGAGGAGTGAAAGACCCTTGGATCTATATATATATATATATATATATAGGCTTTTCTCAAATAATAATCATCCAAGACTTGTAATATTTCCATGTTATCAATTTAGTTGGAATTTTATATCCAAAAATTTACGGAAATAAGTTAATTTATTTATTCATGTGATGGTTATGATTGCCACGCATGTAAATATTTCCGTAAGTTTTCTCGCAAAATAATATTTGATATAGTTTGAGCTAAAATTTTGCGATAAACTCAAAAGAAATCATTTTTATGTGCTTAATATTTTGACAAAAAATTTATTTTTAAAAAACTCCACATTTGAGAAAAAAATTCAATATATGTCGGCTAAAACGATTTTAGTATAATTTCCCTCTAAATATACAATTTTTTAAAAATAAATTTTCAGTCAAAATATTAATATACTTTGGTACATGATAACGGATCCTTATACTATTTTTGAGTTCTTCACAAAATTTTCATGATGACGTCATTGTCACTGTGTCTGAAACTTCAATTTTAAAATATTGATATAATTGATCTGAAATTCTGTGGAGATGTCTAAAATATATATATATATATATATATATATAATTGAAAAAGGAATGCGATATATTATATGCGAAATTGTTAAATTAATTACTATATAAAATAAATTAAAAATTAATAGAAAATTCGCACACACGGAGAGAAATAGATGGTAAGATCTTATGATCTAAAGATGGTTAAAAGTAGATGTTATCCTGTACCATCATTATGCTACTCGGTACTATCAAAGATGTTACAAAAAATATGGTTATATTATCCACTATAATCAAGATGCTACTCCGTACAATCTGGATTGTAACTAATAGAATCCAAAAAACTGTCTGTATATGTAAGATCAAATATGGTACCTGGTACTATCTAGATAGTACCCAGTATCATCTATTTCTCTCCGTGCAGTGAAACATTTTATGATAATAATTAATTAAACAAATTTCGCATAATCTCTTCTTCATAATATAATGAGTTTAAAATATGTGTCCTGACGCGGTGAAAGGGACCTTATGATTAAATAAATCGATTTTTATTTTTTTATACCAATCGATAGTTTTTGAGTTGCTTTTTCATTTCCAACAATTAAAATTTGTCTCCTTCAAATACTTATTGTGTTATATAGCTTTAAACATAAGTACTTTTCCGCGTATTCTCGGGCGCCTCGTGGCTACTGCAAAACCACTACCACTGCTCACCACTACGACGCTACCCTCGTATATCGGTGAGCGTGTTTCCTTCGTGCATCTTCGGCTCTACCATTTCTTGTCTCTCCCCACTAGTTCTAAGCTCTGATGTATACATTGCGCTGGGCCCGGAAAATGGATTTATCTCATATTAAAGCCAGTAAAATTGCAATAAACAATTTATTAGATTTTCATTATTTTAATAATGTATAATAATAATAATAATTTATATTTTAAATTCAAGACATATAACTTATTTATACAGCAAAAGTAATGTTATTTTTACTGTTGTAAGAAAAGTAAAAATTGAAAATTTCTCTGTTGATAAAATAAATAATAAAAATTAATTTTATTTGATAACAACGATTTTCAGAGAATTAATAAATAATTATTAAAAAAATGTTTAAACATTGTCAAAAAGGGGTTTCGTAAATTTCTTCTCATCTTTAAAGGATAAAGTATTTCGAGTTGGCATTTGGAGGAATAATAGAGGAATATTATTTTTGCAATAATATTGTGAGGAAATTATTTTATTAAAGATTTAAAGTGGAGTAATTTGGGGTAAGTTAGTTCAGCAGCGGCCACTAGCTAGAATTGGCGCCACCTTCTGGGCCACTGACACATAGATTCAATGTCTGTCCCCACTTCTGTCAAAAATCCAACTTTTATAACCACAAAATTACTTTTAAAAATGGAGATGCTTCTTAATCAGCTCGCCCTCATCTAATTAATCCGACAAATCCGAACAAGATATTTCAAGTTATTTACGTATTATTTTGTCAATCAAAATTAATCGATTAACTTTAATAGAAAATGAATCCATTTGCCGGGCCCAGGGCAATGTTTACATCAGAGCTTAGAAAGAGTAGGGAGGTACAAGATATGGTAGAGCCGAAGATGCACGAAGGTAGCATGCTCACAGACATATGAGTGTAGCGTTGTAGTGGTGAGCAGTGGTGCTGATTTGCAGTTGTACGTCCCCACTACTCAAATGTCTATTTTCGTGCTACACTTCGAGCGCCTCTCCTGTAAAATTTGCTTTGGAACC